GAAATTGGCTGGGTTTATATAGGGGGGAAGGCCACCTAACTCGCTGATGACTCAGGCGCCACCACCTGGGACAGATTCCCACCTAACACGCTGGAGTCACCGGTGGTGCCGCCTGAGTCTTCGGCGCCGCCGCTGTCACTTAATCCAAAATATCATCCATAGCGGCGGTGCCTGAGTCCCAGGTGTTGTCGCCATTTGTTGTCTCCAAAACACAATATCTATGTAAATACTTCTTAATCCGCCATATTGGTGGTAAATTAAAGGGTTAATACCCTAGTTTGGCCCGAAGTTTAGCGTTAGTGACCGTTCTGGCCTCATTTTTCAAATAAGACATTTATGACCTACTTTTAAAATTATTGGACAAATTTGGCCCGGCGTTTGGATTGACTGTTAAAATTGACGGTCAATGACATTTTTCCGTGAGTGACTATGCTGAGGTGGCTGCCACGTCATTATTTGACTAGAAAAAAACATAAATTAAATTAAAAATTAAACAAAAAAAATTTGTGAAACTAAAAATCCCTAAAACAACTCTCTCTATCCTTACTCCACCTCCGTCGGCGCTCTCCGTTCAGATTCAGTTCCAAAATCAAATCCCATCGGATTCGGCTGCGGGAAGAGAGGAGTAAGGATGGATTCTTTGCTGGCTGGTCGGGAAGGTTGGCAGGTGATGCTTTCTTCTTTTCGTCCGGTCTTCTTCTCCGGGAACTCAGGATGGACTGGTGCGACGGTGATTGGAGGCGGAAGAGACTAGTGCAGCAGTGGTTGGATGCAGGAGAGGAAGGACTGACTGTCGCGGCGGAGCAGATATCACCGCCCATCACCGTCATCTTGGCGATGATGCTCACCGGGATCACGTAAGTCTGCCCCAAAACCCCATTCACAACGTCGATCAACCCTAGATTCAGATGCGCCGGGCAATCGTCCTGGGTCATGCCTTAGTTGTAGATCCGCGAATCCTCCTGTGTAATCGACACGACCTTGGTGGCGCCTTGTCTCTCCGGATTAGTAGCAGCTCACCATCTAATATGAAGAAGAGGTTGTCGATAGGAGCAGAGATTCGGGGCTTCCCAGTGCCGCTTCTCTCCGGCTTCTTTGCTCGACTCTTTAACAGATGCTTCCTTCCCCTTAGATCCCACTGGTTCTTGCTTGGTATTTGTTCATTTTGCATACTTCAATTGGGGATTTATTATCCCACTGCCATTACCCCTCAATTCATGAACAAGGAAGAGGAATAAAAAGCAGAGCAAAGAAATTGGAATTTGGAGAAGCGGAGGACCGATTTGAGAAGAGATGATGTTGGAAATGGTCAGGCGCGCGGTGGAAATAGGGCTAATGATAATGGTGATTTCGAGTTTTCAACTGACGGAGTTCGGGATTTGGACGGTGATGACTGATCGGCGGCAACGGCGACGTTGGTGGTGGATTGTCGCGGCAAGGACGATCAGGCGGCGACAACGAGACTGATTAAGGTAGTGATTTTGACTGACAAGAGGTTTGGAGTCTTGGTGGTGATGGCCGACCGGCGACAACAACGATGACGGTGATGGATAGTTTGTGTGACTCTACAGAGGAGTTTGTCTCACTTCACCGTGGAAGGACCCAGAAATAATGTTTTTAATTAATAATAAAAATGAGGTGGATGCCACCTCAGTATAATATGTTGAGTCACTAACGGAAAAAATTGTTGACCATCAATTTGAACGGTCAATCCAAACGTCGGGTCAAATTTTTCCAATAATTTCAAAAGTGGGTCATAAATGTCTTATTTGAAAAATGGGGCCAGAACTGTCACTAACGCTAAACTTTGGGCCAAAATAGGGTATTAACCCTAAATTAAAAAAAAACAATATTTGTGTCATTAACCCACAGTCCATCGATTTACGATTATTTGGCAATGCAAATTCCAATGTCACCCTTGGATAATGTCTTCCCTAAAAAAAAATCAACCAATTAAATTGAACAATTGCAATTAACAATGAGTAGACTTTGCCAATGTGAATGGGTGGCTTGAATCTGTCTAAATAAACAATTAAATAAATTCTATTACTACATCACGGATGATGATTGATGACCTCAAGTACAATGTCAACGAGGTGTCCCAATGTCAAACCTCTTCTTGTCGTCAGAAACTTTGAAGATATGCTAGATTGGCAACATGAATTCTTAAAACCCTTACTTCAGCAAGGTTTATCCAATGTCAAATTCTATTAGAAAAGATGGAATCTGAGATCCATGGAGACCGATGAGAATGAGTGGAAATTGAGGTCGTCAAGACCAGGAGAGCAAAGATGAGGGCAATGTGAGCCGAGTGCGATGGAAGCAAAAGGCGACAAAGTCTACTTGTAGAGGGATTAGTACACACTGTGTCCGTGGAAAGGAAAATCAGCTAGAAATTGAGCGACGACAAAGGAGATCAAAGACGAAGACAGAAAAGAACGATGGAACGAAACGGAATATGAGAAGAATAAAAACCATCGAGAGATCATAGACAATCAGGGTATAAGGAGGAAGATGATGACTAGGAGAGGATTTGGGAAGATAGTGGTGATAGAGGAGATCGGAGATGAAGAGATAAGATAAACACTAATTTTTCAAGTATGTAAGAGGGGGGGGGGCATAGAGACATTTTAAAAATTCAATTTATCTATTAATTTTATTTTTCTACAACATTGAACAAGCTCTTCACTACTCCACACCATCATATTTGGTTAAAAAACAATAGATGGTGATTAGATTAGTTAAAGACCATCTCTATCCCTGCAACAGGTTAGCAATTTTATATATGATTCTCATTACCATATCAACGATTTTAGTAATAACTCTACTATGAAATTCGAGTCATCTATATGCCTAATGCTTTAGCAATTCCTATGAAATTCCAGTCATCTATATGTGCATGAATAATTCATCATTTATGAAAAACTAACCTTCATAAACTCTAAAGGCAAAAGAAATCTCATGTGCCATTACAAGTGGAATTGCTAATTTAACAATTTTGTTAAGTTATCAATTACTCCACATTGATGCAATCCAACTAGCAATTGCCGCATTAAATCTAAACTTTAACAAATGCCAATAAAAGGCAATGGAGATGGAGATGGTCCTAGTAAGGGTCTGGGATAGAGTCAGTAACCAATGGTTACTGACCTATCAGTAAATGCATGCACACCATAGATCTAGGGGCGGATCAATCATGTGACTGGGCTGAATGCGGGGTCCAGAAGGGCATTTTTGTCCATTTATGATTTTTATTTTTATTATATTCCAAGTTTAATAGCCGCTTTTTCAAAAAAGAAAACCACTTTTAATGGCTGCCTTTTCAAAAGAGGAGAGAGAATCATTGCTCTGCAACTCTCTTTTCTCTTTTTCCCTTACTTCTCTCTTCCTTTTTCTCTCTCAATCTCCTTTTCAGATCATTTCTCTTTCTCTGTTCCTTTTTTTTCTCTCCAATCTCTTTCTCCATATATAGATCTGCTTCCTTCTCTTTTTTTTTCGTTTTTTTCTCTCCAACAATCGACGAAGAAAAATTGCAGTCACTCTTTTTCATTGCGTTTTTTGTCTCTTCATCAACTCGTTGGCCTCAATTTCGGTCTTTCTCCCTTTTTGACGTTTGGTGTTCTTGATTGCGGAGGAAATGAGACGAAATAGAAGACGAGTTTTTTTTCCCTCTTCCTCCTTCAGTTTTTTTTCTTTTAGGTAATATATATTGATATTAACATGCTATACTATACGGTATTGTGTGGTAACGAAATATATATTGATATTACCACACTATACCATATTGTATTGTGTGGTAACGAAATATATATTGATATTACCGCACTATACCATATGATTTTGTGTGATATTACCACACTATACCATATGGTATTGTGTAGTAACGAGAGATATATTGATATTACCACACTATACCATATGGTAATGTATGGTATTGGGTGGTAACGAAATATATATTGATATTACCACACTATACCATATGGTATTGGGTGGTAACAAGATATATATTGATATTACCACACTATACCATATGGTATTGGGTGGTATTACCAAATATATATTGATATTACCACTCTATACCATATGGTATTGGGTGGTAACGTAATATATATTGATGTGACAAATTTTTTCATACCATATGCTATGGTTAATACCAATCATTACCATATGGTATAGACTGGTAATAACTGACAAATTTTTTTATGTCTAAAAAATATCAAAGTGGATATTATTTTGAAGAGCACAATTAATCTGATCTAACTGTGAAAAAAAATTAAATTCCGACTTAAAACGAGTGAGAAATCGTCCGTTAAAGATTAAGAGAAGGAAAATTAAAGATTTTTTGAGGAGAGAGAAGGCGCTGATGTGATCTGGTCAGCGTCAGCGCGTCAGAGACATCATTAAATAGGGGGTGCAATTTTACCTTAGTGCCCCTCCGTGTTTAATTTAAATAAAAAGAAAAAGCTGACACGTGGGGACACATGATTGGATTACTGATAGTTACTGATATCAAAGATACTGACCTGATCTGGTCCCCCTAGTAAGATATCTCGTCCACAATAACAAACATTTACCCCGATTGAGTTTTAGAAATTAGAATGGAAGAAATTAATGGTCCAACAGAATGTGGATTTAAACTAGCTAGTTATAATCACTAATCACTCCACACACACCAAAAAAAAAAAAAATTATAACCACTAACATTAAGTGACTTAAACTATGTTTATTTTGTTATTTATCATTCGGACAAACATGGCAATGATTGATAATCTTATTTTTATTTGGATATGTTGATGGGCATGTTGGCATGATCATTGAACCAAACATCTAACTGTTAGATACTTTGTGATCTCGATCACTTAGTAACGCTTCTATGTGTATCCAATAATTATATCGTAGCGATACCTGATAATCCGATTGGACAAACCATCCGATATAACTGAAAGCACTACTTACAACTGTTCAAAGGCCAGGATTTTGAAGATCACAGAGAAAGAGTATTGGCTTCGAAACATACAATCGATGCCCCACCTGCACGGCTGCACCGCTGCACGATGAATCAGAATGGACAAAACCAAAAAAAAACAAAGGAAGAAAATGAAGGCCATCTTCCCATCACGACGAGACGACTACTGGTGCGTTTCTTTCTTGTTTTTTGTTTTTTTTTGGTTTATTAAAACTTTCCGTTTTTGGGAACTATTGCCGGCTCGCCTGCTGCTGCTAGTAGCTTGTGCGTTTTCTGTTTGGCATCTGAGAAAATCGTTTCCCATTTTCCCTTTCCTTCCCTTCCGTAGTTTCTGGTCGTCGTTTCTGTGTGAGAAAAGAACACAGTTGTCTAGGCAATAAACCTCCACAACCCATGTTTCCCTGAAACGGTCCTTTCTCTATCCCTCTCTAGATCCATCTCGCTTTGAAACCCCTTCTGGGCAATGGCGATTCGCAGAGAGAAACCCCAGACGTTTCGCGGATCTCCCCTCCTCATAGCCATTGTCGTCGGAATTCTTCTCGGCTGCGTTTTCGCCGTCTTGTATCCTCACGGGTTCTTCAGCTCCGATCCGGCCATTGCGACGGCTCGTCGAACTGCCGAATCAGATCTCCAGGTTCGCAACTCAGTCTCTGCCCTAATTCAGCTCCGCTTTCACTGTTTCTCTGGTTTCCCCCTCAGTGGCGCTCTGAAATTCGGGGTCTTTCTGTTCTAATTAGCGTCTTCTGCTGCTGTGGAGTTGACTTTTGTTTCTTCTTTTGAGCTCTGAATCCATCCATGGTGGTCTGGTTGATAGTTTAGGAGCTGGAATCTTTATGGTGAAGTTAAAAGTCTCTATGATTGTTTGCATGCGAGTGGGTTTATGCTTGACAATTGATTTCTCTCTGAAGTCTGATTAATGTAAGAGTAAAGATTTCAAAAGAATCAACAGATTCATTTTCCGTGGTTTCATGCTGTGATGGTAAGTTAGTTAGGATGGCCAAGTTGGGAAATTTTGAAAAATCTTTCCAATTTCAGGCTGCGTCCTCCTGCGAATCACCAGAAAGAATTCGAGTGCTGAAATCAGACATAGTGTCTCTAACAGAGAGCAACGCGCTATTGAAGAAACAAGCCAGGGAGCTCAACGAGAAGCTGCAGATGGCTGAACAAGAAAAAGATCATGCACAGAAGCAAGTTCTGGTGTTAGGCAAACAGCAGAAAGCTGGGCCTTTTGGCACTGTCAAGGGCTTAAGAACCAACCCTGCAGTGCTCCCAGACGAATCTGTCAATCCTCGGCTGTCAAAAATCTTGAAGGAAATCGCTGTGCAGAATGAGGTCGTTGTTGCCCTAGCAAATTCGAACGTGAAAGAAATGCTAGAAGTTTGGTTCACCAACATCAAAAGGGTCGGGATACCAAACTACCTTGTTGTAGCACTCGACGATCATATAGTTGATTTCTGCAAATCGAATGGGGTCCCAGTGTACAAAAGAGATCCAGATGAAGGTGTCGACTCGATTGCAAGGACTGGGGGAAATCATGCAGTCTCTGGGTTGAAATTCCGAGTATTGAGAGAGTTTCTCCAGCTGGGATACAGTGTGCTGCTCTCAGATATCGACATTGTCTTTCTCCAGAACCCATTCAATCACCTGTACCGAGACTGTGACGTGGAGTCCATGACTGACGGCCATGACAACATGACAGCATACGGTTTCAACGATGTGTTCGATGAGCCTGCCATGGGGTGGGCTCGATATGCTCACACGATGAGGATATGGGTTTACAACTCGGGGTTCTTTTACATCAGGCCGACTCTGCCTGCAATCGAGCTGTTAGATCGAGTTGCAGGGAGGTTATCTCGCGAGCCAAATTCGTGGGACCAAGCGGTTTTTAATGAGGAGCTCTACTTTCCGTCTCACCCGGGTTACGAAGGGCTTCATGCTGCAAGGAGAACAATGGATTATTATATGTTCATGAACAGCAAGGTGCTTTTCAAGACTGTGAGGAAAGATGCCAAGTTGAAAAAGCTGAAGCCAGTTATAGTTCACCTGAATTATCACCCAGATAAGTTTCCTAGAATGAAAGCTGTTGTAGAGTACTACGTTAACGGGAAGCAAGATGCTTTGGAGCCCTTCCCTGATGGTTCTGACTGGTAGGCAGAAATGTCAGAAAGTAAGCAGAGAGTTTCTTCCATAAGGTTTTGTTCTAGCTTTCACTTGTACTATTCCACAAAATAGGGTGTAGATTAAGTTTGATATTTTCTTAATATGTTGTTCAGGTGATGAATTCCATTTATCCTTTCCGCATTCTGTAATTTTTGGTCAAGTTTCATACTGGAAAGATCACATCTTCGTTAATGACTTCCCGTGTTTGGTTTTGGTTTATAACGAGACGAAGATTCCAAAATGATCGAAATGTGAAAGAGAACTACCGGTTGATGGCTCTACATAAGATCAGACTGTAGAATTCTGCAACTGCAACTGTGTACCTGTGCACAAGAATTGGGTTGGAGGCCAGAAGGCGTAAACTGGTAAATCTGCTGAAATGCAAGCTCCAGGACTCGTTCGATCATCTCCACTGTGATTCTGACGTGGAATCCTCATTGGACGGCCACAACTAGAAAACAGCCTTGGGGATCGGTTTCACTTCTCGCATTTGATCATGATCTGGGTTTACGACTCCAGGTTCTTTCATTCGAGGCAGACTGTCCCCCTGCAAAGCTCATGGATCTGGAACCCTTCTCAGATGAAGCAGAGTACTCCAGTTGTGTGATCTTTAAACACTTCCTCAGTCCTCACTATCAACCTCGTAATACTAACTAACAGTTCTTTTGTCAGCCAAAAGAAGTTCCCGCGCAACTTTTCACCATTGGAGAAAAGCTTTCGTCTTTGCATATGTTTTTTTGAAAAGTTGCCATCTTTTTTAAACAAGTTACGGACCCATAATCCCATCTCCCCTGTCTGTTGCCTGTCTCTGTTTTCCCCTCCCAAACGTTTGGTTTTATGGCGCCCATTAAATGAGACCCGCCAAATTCATGTGACTGGCCTTGCCTTCACTGAACAGCAAAATCCTATTAGGTTTTTGCCTAGTTTATGTCCTCTAGTCTAGTGCCCAATTTCCGCGGCAATTATCAGACTGACAGAAAAGTTTGGAAGAAACTGAGCCCCAAAGTCTGGATTAATGGCTACCAAGAGAAAAGATTAGCCGTTTTTTGGGATCACCAAATTTTTCCAGTTCACGACAAAGATTAATGGCCTACCCATCTTCCCTCCTTGGCATGTTCTGTTGCCTCTCCACCTTATCCCACCACTCTGTATTTCCGCTTTCACAGATCTTTCATGTCGTCTTTTATTCCTCTTCTTCCACCACCACAAAAATCAGGTTCGACATTCTGACAAAAATTCTCTGCCGAAGTCGATTCCTCTTTCTTTTTTGCTACCTGGGTTTTGTGTCTTGATTAGTCATGCTGAAGAACATCCAGAGAGATAGTAGTGTTCTAGTGAGCTACAATCCTCCTCCGAAGAGCCCCTGCAGAAACCCTAATTCGGACCTCGACTTCAACGACGTCTTCGGCGGTCCGCCGCGCCGGGCGTCGCTGCAGAATGTCCGGCACAGTTTCGGCGAGGAGCCGTCTGGAGACGACCCGGAAACGGCGCCGTTGCGGACGCGGTGGTCCGGGCTGTACGAGAAGCCGGTTTTCGGAGAACATGAAGGAGCGGCGAAGAACAGAGGAGGAAGGGGTCACAACGGAGATTTCTTCGATGACATATTTGGCGGGAGCGAGTCGTTGAGTTCTTCTCCGAGGAGGCAAGTCACCGGATCTCCGTCCGGATCCAGGGTTTTGAGCCCGGCCCGACCGCTCCCGCCGAGATCCGACCCGATTGGAAGTTCAAGTTCCTCACTTCCTGCCCCGTTCAGGTCTTTACATTTCCTTCTATAGGTTGCTCATTTGTATGTTCTCAATTACGAAAAATATGATCGTGTCGATCTAACAACTGAAAACGCGTAATTATTAGACGATTCGGTGGATATCGATCAATACATGTGTCTACCGTTCTTGCTTCTATTCGAATTTTCGTAATTACTATTATCACAGATATTCTCGTAACTATGGTAGATCTGTCTTTAGGTTATAGCAACCTATGTGACATGAACTTCCATTGGAAATAGTCCAAAGAGTTTTAAATTTTAAATAGTGTATAAGAAGAACAATAATAATAAAAATGCATTTTCCAATCCTTACAGTCTACCTTCGAAGCTAATGAAACCGACGACGGATCTGCCTACATTTGGTTCGAGTCCTCGCAGCTCCCTGCTGAAGGCCAAGGAAGTTGCTTCGAATGGCGGCATGATCAGCAACTACTCATTTTCTCCACTATCAAGATCCTCAAGCAAGACAGATTTGGTGGTGATGGAGGAGTTCAAAGACAATATCCGTAGCCAGGGCTCTCTCTCCCGCCAATTCTCCGTCAACAGTCGCGACGACTTGTCAAGCATGGACAAAGAACAAGGTGAAGAACAATACAAAGAAAGCACTTCAGAAGATAAAAGCAAAGGAGGCAACCGTGGCCATGGCTACGGCCATTTCCACTTCTCAATCTACAAATGGGCAAGCCAAGGAGCTCCTCCCATTTCCATGCCTCTGAGGTCAGCAAACGGTTCGAGATCGAAAGACAAGTTGGTATTTAGTTCACCAGCAAGTGAAGCTTCAGCTGAGTTAGAAACACAACTTAAACCAGAGTTGAAACCATTGCGTTCTATGCTCTTAGACAGTGATTCTGAACAAGGTAAAAAAAAAAGGCTGGTTCTGTTTTGTGGGATCCGAACCATTCGTTGTTTCGTAGCGAAAAGATTGGTTCTTTATAATGTTGTTGATGTTGTGGTTCAGGAACTTTGGAAGGAGATAGTGACAAGGATTTGTTGAGAGAGAGCAAAGTGAAGAGTAGTAGTAGCAAGAAGAAGGCATCTTCTGAAGCATTTGATGTCAGCCAGGGGAAAGTGGAAGTGCAAAAGGGTGATAGTAGGTTGCAGGAAATCCATGAAAGGAGTAATAAAACAAAGGGGAAGAAGGTGAATGCTTTTGTGAAGATTTTTAATCAAGAGGTGAAGAAACCCGATGTGATGAAGGGTTTTAAAACACAGAAGAAGCCTGAGAAGAAGAAAGAGAGCAGAGATTCCAGGACACCGGATGATGATGGAACCTCTAAAACAACTAGAAGTAATGAAGAGGAAATCAACTTGGCTCCTGATTACAACAGCAAGGGAATTCATCTGAGGGAAGCATCATATAATGTTCAGGTGATTTTTCCTTTTTTCGTCGATAGATAAACCAAACCAAAAGCAGGCTGATGAGGTGAAGACTTGAATTCCTGAAACTCTCTATCTCTCGGTTTGAATCGTTTTTTCTTTTTTTTTTTCTCTCCAGGTTGATGAGTATCAGAAGCAGACAGATGAGAAAATACCTGTTGTAGAAAGGAGTTACAGTTACAGGTCTTCTGAAACTGAGCATATATCAGCAGCATCAGGTGGAAGTCAGTTGGATTTCTGCTGTGTCTTTGTTTATTATTATCACTGCAGTAAAGAAAGTTAATACCAGATCCTTTGCTGAAATCTTGATAACCTATTGACAGCTCCTGATCCCTCAGAAGAAGCATCTGTTGGAGACCCAGATGAACCATTCCAGGTGAGGGTTATCTACACAACTGGTTTTTGGGATTTTTGGTCAAGTACATGTTGATCTCAAAATGAATTTTCAAAATTTACCATGTTCTGATTCATCATCCACTCTTCTTATGTGACAGGTCAGAGAATTACCAGACCAGATGGAGGAAGATGAACCCATTCCAACTACTGACAGTAACTCTGAAGAACTCCAGGTAAAAGTTAAATCACTTTATTTCCAAGAAGTGCATTAAAAGTTCCTTTACCAGGACCAAATAAGTGATCTGGACAGTACATTTCTTCAGGTGAATGATGCCAAGATACGAAAATGGTGCCAAGGGAAGGATGGAAACATACGATCCCTGCTCTCAACTCTACAATATGTAAGTCGTTTGGCCATTCTTTTCTTTCCTTGCACTTCAAACTAAGATTGCCAGGGCGTCTAACTCGCTCCTGAAATGCAGGTTCTTTGGGCGGGGAGCGGGTGGAAGCCGGTGCCTTTGATGGACATAATCGAAGGGAATGCAGTGAAAAGATCGTACCAAAGAGCCTTACTCTGTCTCCACCCAGATAAGCTTCAACAGAAAGGTGCCACTCCAGAACAGAAGTACATTGCTGAGAAGGTTTTCGATATTTTGCAGGAAGCCTGGATACATTTCAATTCTCTCGGTTCGATTGTGTGACCGACTGGTTGAACCGACCGAGCAGTCTTCACTTTTGTGCGTTGGTGTAGATTTTTTTTATGATATCACCCTTCAACTGTATAGATATTGAAATCATATGAACATTTTAAAAAGTGGACATAATGTTTGTGGGGAAATTCGTGACCCTGTGAAGGGTGTGCGAGAACCATGATTCATTAGAAAATAAACCACCAATGACCCAAATGTTGGCTATCAGCAATTCAGCATGTTATGGAGTCATTCTTTTCTTTCACTTTTTCTATGTGTTTTTTCTTTCTTTTTTTTTTCTGTTTTTACTGTGGGCTTGAACTTTGAAAATTGATGCCTAAAAAGCATATAAAGCTAATAACCATAGGAAGGTACAGATTTGGTTCCCAAAGAAGAGATCTTCCACGCTACAAAATTTGGACTTTTGGTAACTGGAGTGGGGGAGTGTGGGAATATCGAACAGTGCCCTCCAAGCCCTTTTGTAATGATGAAAAAGTTTGAATCTTGAATAGCTTAGATTTTTTTTTCTTTTATATAATGGTGACAACTTAAATTAAAAAGGAAAAAATAAGGCAAAATACACCCGGATAGCTATAACTATCCAGTTTGTGACAATAATAGCCAATTTTTGAAAAATACACAGATATAGCCACTTTCTTGAAACTTATTTGACAAATCTAGCCATTTTCGTTAAAAACGTTAACGTCGTTAGTGACTCTGTTAGTAACACGAACGTTACGCTGATGTGGATGTCATTTGGACGACACGTCATCTCAAGCTACACAAACCATGCCACCTGTACGCCCTGTCATATTAAATTTTTTTTATTTTTTGAGAAAATATTTTTTTATTTTATTCTCTTGCTTCCCCGCTCAGGCTCAGCGCAAGCGCAACCGCTCATCTTCTCTGCTCACCTTCTCCGCTTCCTTGTCCGCTCACTCCCTCCGGCGACTCTTTAATCCATCTCACATTCTTCCTCTCGCGCACCAAAACAGGCATGGTTTCCTCCCACCTTCTTCTCTCGATCACCGTCTTCCTCCGCCGCCGATGTCCATCGGCAACGTAGATCTATCCCGCAATCTTCTGCTTCATATTCTATCGCCCATCCAATTGTTTTATCTACATCGTTTCCCCTCCCCCCTCTAAACCCTGATTTTCCCCCGCCGAGCTCCCGGATTCCTTTCGTGCTGGGCGGTCGTCGCACAATTTTTTTGAACTCCCTCAATAATTCTACGGGAAATAGCTACTTGGTAAACAAATTCCCTTCCATTTCCTTCTTCTATCCGTTGATGGACTGGTTATTGCAGGAGAATGGTTGGGGAAATAAAGAAAGGGGGTTTTGAGATTGATTTCGGAGCTAGGATTTATGTGGAGATAATGGTGGGGGAATTGCTGGGATTCATATAGTTGGGGGAATTGATTAAGCCTGTGAAGTTGGAAGTCTGGTGGTGAGAAGTAGACAAGAAAAAAGAAGAAGAGATGAAATCAGAAGGCGGAAGGAAGAAGACGGGTTGTGTGAATTTTTTATTTGATTTTTGGGTTTCTGATGGTCGTGAAAAGGGAGTAGGAGGTTTAGAGACGATGGCCATTAAATTTTTTATATTTTTTTATTTAGTTTTTTTTTGTTGTAAATTCAAGGTGGCAAGTCAAGATAGAAAATTCGCCACGTCATACAAGAATGTTTGTCTAGTCAGCGTCTGTCACATTGCCGTTAAAGTTATGGACGGAATGGCTATTTTAGTGTATTTTTCAAAATTTGGCTATTATTGTCACAAAGCGTAAAGTTATGGCTATCCAAGTGTATTTTGCCAAAAAATAAGTTCGAAACAAGAAGGAAGGAGTAATGTTTATTTTTTATTCATTTTTTTATGTTATTCAAATTTATAAAAATATTATTAATTAGTCAAATCTTTCATAATGCATCAAAATATTAGTCATTTTTATGTTATCATTAATAATTTTGTAACTCTTTTCTTTGTTAAAATTCTAAAATTTTCGAATGTTGACCTGTCTCTTCCAAGTCAGTATCATATTTCCAAGTCAATATTACTAACAAAATTGCTAACTGAAAGTTAACATTTGGTTAATTCTTTGTATTTCGATACGTTTGGCTAATAAAAAAGAATTCGAAAAATGTTTCGATAAAAATAGACATTACCCTTATGGAATAGACTGATTGGTATGAGAAAAGTAGCTACGGCAGTTCCTCATCTGATATGTGTGATTTGACTTGTTTGGAGCGGGTATTTTTTTCCCGTAGTTGCGTGGGGTCAGACATGGTACTACTTCTAACATGTTCCACTTTGTTCTGTTTCATTCTTGATTCGTTCTATTATAATTTTCATCAATATCTACTTGTATTACTCTTCTTTTGATTTTTTCGAAATCATATTTTATATCAATTAAATTTCACGACTCCAACTTTCAATTTTGCAAACTACTTTGAACCCTCATGATGGAGAAGAGGAACTTTCGGTTTCACTCTTTTTAAAATTCTTTTGTTAGGTGTTCCTTGTAAAATTTGTACCTATAACCTCCAAGTTGAATATGAACGATGAGCACAGAACTCATTTTTTCACACATGTGTACAAAAACTGTTGAGAGTATTACTGTCATTGCTTGAAACTTTTAGTACCTTTTTGTACTTTTCCCTTTGTTCCTTTTGTATTGCCCTAGAGACTTGTTGCTGGGCATATAAATAGGTTCGGCTTCTTGTGCGGCCGCCTAAGAACACTACTCCACAAAAACTACTGCAGAAGATATAAGAGCTTGAGATCGATTCTCCGTGGAGTAAGGTCATCCATCCTGGATGACAAGAACCACGTAAATCGCTGTGTCGTGTGTTTGTTTGCTTCCGCGTTTACTTTATTTTACATGGTATCAGAGCGGGCTTCGCTCTAGGGATTTTTCTTGAGGTTTCTTGGTGATGGCGAAAGACGACGAGAAGGCAGGGATGACATCGGGCACTACCGATGCCGGCACAGAGGGTATTCCATTGAACTCGCCGCTGTTCCTCCATCCTTCTGAGAACCCCGCCCAATTGTTTGGGAGTGATCTGCTCACGGACTCTAATTACGGTGAGTGGGTGAACGACATGACCGAAGTTCTTATCGCTAAGAACAAGATGGCTTTTGTTGACGGGACGTTAACCAAGTCAATGGCTGGAAACAAGGAGAGGACCGATGCCTGGGCACGTTGCGATGCCACCGTAAAGGGTTGGCTTAAGACGGTGATGACCAAGGAGGTCCGTAACAGTGTTCGCTCGGCTCTCACAGCGAGAGAGATTTGGTCTGATCTTGAAAAGAGATTCGGGAAAGGAGCAACGCCGCGCGCTTATGAGCTTCGGCGCCTAATAAATGGAACTCGGCAGGAGAAGCTTACAATTTCAGCATTCTACACACGTCTCCGCACCTATTGGGACGAGATGCAGGCTATCAATCCTGACCCCCATTGTACGTGCGAGGGTTGTACTTGTGGAGGCTGTAAATGTGACTTGCCGCGCCGACAACGTGAGAAGACTGAAATGGAGCGCCTCTTTGAGTTCCTTATGGGACTATACGAGGTCTTCTCCGTAGTCAGGACTCAGTTGCTGAGCATGAGACCTACACCTACCCTAGCCGACGCTTATCAGGCGGTCTCCACTGAAGAGCAGCAGCGTAACATAACTGCTGGGAGGCGTCCTGTTGTGGAAGCAGCAGCTTTTTTGACGAGTGGCGAGCAGGCGCGTGCTGACCGGGATTCGGGAGACAAGCCTCGCTGTTCCCATTGTCATAAGCTGGGCCACACGGTTGATACCTGCTACAAACTTCATGGGTATCCGCCGGATCTTCCAAAAACTAGACAGGGTGATCGTCCGAACAAGTCTAGGCAGCAGCGCAATGATGCTCAGCCAAGGGCTGCTCACGTCGAACCTGAGACCAGCTCATTCCCGGGACTCACAGCAGCACACTTTGACCAGTTAAAGCAGCTCCTGGAATATTCGGCAAAATCCTCATCCTCGAGCAACCCTGAAGCACACATGGCTGGTAATCTCTCTGATTTGTCTGAATGGTTGATTGACTCGGGGTGCAATGAGCATATTGTGCGGGATAGTAGTTGGTTAGATGAATTAGATGCTTCAACTATTCTTGCTCCCGTACGTATACCGAATGGGGAAAGTGTTCCTGTGCGTGGTACAGGGTCGGTTCGGTTGACTGAGAAGCTTACCCTTCGTCGTGTCTTGCATGTTCCTGAGTTCAAGTGTAATCTGTTGTCCGTCAGCCGATTGTGTAAGGATAATAACGTTGCGTTGACCTTCCTGGTTGATTTCTGCATTATCCAGGCCTTACCTTCCATGACTGTGATTGGGATTGGTGAATGTCGAGATGGGCTGTACTACTTGCGCCGAGATGGAGCTGCTTTGAAAACCACGGTTCGTTCGACCACAGCCAGTGACGTAGCTCGACGTTTGGAGTCCTCAGCCCTCTGGCATGCCCGACTGGGGCATCCTTCGGCAGCCAAGTTTGATTTATTAAGGAGTTTGATTAGTTGTAAGGACACAGTTCAGGCAGTTCGGCATTGTGATTCATGTTTTCGTGCGAAACAATCTCGCACACCTTTCTCTTTGAGTTCAGTTAAGACCAAAGCATGCTTTGAGTTGATACATTTGGATATTTGGGGTGGATATCGTACTCCTTCACTCGATGGTTCTCGTTTCTTTCTCACTATTGTCGATGATTACAGTCGAGCCACCTGGGTTTATCTTATGAAGTACAAGTCAGATGTTGAAAGATACATTAAGATGTTTTGTCATCTTGTATCGACGCAGTTTCAGACGCAGGTACGCAGGATTCAGGCTGATAATGGGTTGGAATTTGGAACTCACTCGTTGCGCGATTTTTATGAGGAGCATGGTGTTGTTCTACAGACTACTTGCACCGACACTCCACAGCAAAACGGGGTCGTTGAACGCAAACATCGTCATTTACTTGACATGGCGCGAGCATTGCGGTTTCACAGTGGCTTACGTGTTCGCTTCTGGGGTGAGTGCGTTCTGACAGCTACCTACCTCATTAATCGACTGCCCTCTACAGTTCTGAACAATAAGACACCCTATGAAATTCTCCTGAATTGCACACCTACGTATGCTCATCTTCGCAACTTTGGTTGTCGTGTTTATGCTAAGGATACCCATCATGGATTGGATAAATTCGCAGAACGAGGAAGGTCGTGTGTGTTTGTTGGCTATCCAGCAGCCCAAAAGGGCTACCGCGTCTATGATCCTCAAACTCGCAAGATTTTCACTTCTCGCGATGTCCATTTCGTCGAGGACGTTTTTCCGTTTAAAGAGCCTCCTCACGATGGGTCACAGGGGCTGCCTTCTGCCGTTCCACTTGCTGATCCTGACGTAGTGGATGGAAGCTCCACTCCATTTGAGGTGCCTAGAAACTCTTCGGCGGGTGAGAAGTCTTCCACGACCGAGCCATCCTCGTTGGATGCATCTGGCAGCTCGCCAAGTATTCCCACGTTGCATGGGGAGGGCGCTGCTTTGCATGGGGGCGAATCAGCTGGCGAATCACCTTCTCCCATGCAGCCTA